CCCCCAAAACCCCAAAACCCCAATTATATAATGAAAATAATGTAAAACACATTTCATTAAATATTGATATCAATCCTAGAATTATTATTTATAATCCTTTTCGCAATTGGTGGTCTTTTAATAACAGGAGTACTCATCAGGGAAAATTATTCAGTCCTGTTACGATAATGTCTTCTTTCTCTAATTAATCCTTATATCCAATTTTTCTTCATCAAATTAATTGCGAATTTTTACTTGCCTGCTAGACAAACCCCAATAAAATCAATAAAATCATAACCTTATTCATCAACTGCGCCTTTCCAAGAATTAAATTCGTTTTTTAAATCTTCGTCTTCAGATTAATATTAACTATGTCCTATTTTTAATCTCAATAACATGTATCCAAGAGCCTTAATATCTTTTGTCTAGTTAAATTCTTCATGGTTATAGTATATGTGAGCTTCATTGAATGTGTGAAGAATGCATTTCTCAATATTTTTAAATTCATCAATTTCAATCGCCACACTTTTTAAATTCAAATTGTAATGTTAGATTTTAGGCTTTGATAGATAAATCAAATTTCTAATTAGCATCACAGCTACTTTACGCAAAGATAATAAGTTATCAATGGCACCATACTACTTTATGTAACGATTGAGATTTAATGGATACTTATCTACAACCATGAACTAAATGAAAATTAAGATGAAATAGTATTACACTTTCTCCTCTAAAATTGAAAAAATCTAATGCAGCTGAAATAGGTAATTAGTCGATGTTCTCTTATTTTTAAAGAGCATACATAACTCTTCTGTAGTTGATTTAGGAATTATAATCTTTGGAATTAACACCAATACTTAAATCATGTTCTACTATTTCTCTGTGAAGCTAGTCTAAATAGGACGTTTAATAAATATTTCTGAGTTCCGGATTCACTTTAACTTATATTTTAGAGGCAGCATTTTTTTCGTAAAATATAGCAAGGTTTTTATCAAATTGATCTGTAACTTAATCTATTATCACATCTTTCTTGAATTTATGATCGAACCCTATCAACTTAGCTTTTTTGTTTTCAGGGTCAGAAATTATTTTTACAATCTCGTATCTATAAGCTAAATGATGTTGTGGTTTGAGAACGAGCTGATAATTGAAAATTTTATGTCGTTCCTCTTCAAAATAGTAGTAATAAATCTAGTCATAGTGCATTATTTCCCTCTTTTCTTTCTTATCCATAATTGAGGCTAGAAATCTTATTGCGTACTTTGACTCTAGAGGGAAATTGGACAAAGCTCTTCGTGTCAATTCGTAAGGGTCTATTTAAAGCTCAGACTAATCATAGCAGGGAACTAATTTTTCTCTCTTAAGTCTGTTTTCATGTTCAGTAAGTTCTTTTATTTTTCTCTTCTTTTCTGTCACTACTTGTTTCTGGGCAAACTTATGATTAAAATCTATATTTTCACTTTTCAAATGTCTATGGTTTTCTACCCTCGGGGAAGATAATACTTTAAATCCTAATAGCTTTTTTTTCTGCTTTATTGTCATGAATTTTTTTTTCAGAGGAGCAACTTCCTTTTAAAATTTTTTAGTCAAAAAATTAGATAATAGACTTATACCTGATCCATTACTGTTTTTATTAAGTGATAGGTTTGATTTTGGATTCAGCTAGTCGAACTTTGAAGCCTGACCAATAATAGATTCTTTATTAATATATTAGCTATCATCTGGTTAGTAATGTTTAGTCTCAGAATCATGAATAGAGGGAAGCCTAAATTCCTCAATAGACACTATCGAATTTTTTGTCAATATATTTCCACTTATCTAGGAATTTAATTTCTCTTACCGAGTGTTAACTTACTCGCTCTACATCCTGCGATGCATAAATTAACGCAAATTACTAATAACATTTAAGTTTCCTTAAGAAGGTTAAAATGACCCACTAAAATTTTATCTTGTCCCAAAACTTGCATTTTATTCTTTGTTCGTTTCACTGCCATCAGCATTATCTATTCTGACATTTTTTATCAAGGCTTCCATCATTTTGAGAAATTGATAAACAATTAACTGCGATATTAATAAGGACAGAAATTAGATTTTGCTTTTTTAATTTTATAGAGAATTCGAACACCATGGGGTTTTGGGGTTTTGGGG